CTCTCATACGCTCTCAATCCCTCTCACCCACTCTCATACGCTCTCATTCCCTCTCAACCACACTCATACACTCTCATTCCCTCTCACCCACTCTCATACGCTCTCATTCCCTCTCACCCACTCTCATACGCTCTCATTCCCTCTCACCCACTCTCATACGCTCTCATTCCCTCCCACCCACTCTCATACGCTCTCATTCCCTCTCACCCACTCTCATACGCTCTCATTCCCTCTCACCCACTCTCATACGCTCTCATTCCCTCTCACCCACTCTCATACGCTCTCATTCCCTCTCACCCACTCTCATACGCTCTCATTCCCTCTCACCCACTCTCATACGCTCTCATTCCCTCTCACCCACTCTCATACGCTCTCATTCCCTCTCACCCACTCTCATACGCTCTCATTCCCTCTCACCCACACTCATACGCTCTCATTCCCTCTCACCCACTCTCATACGCTCTCATTCCCTCTCACCCACTCTCATACGCTCTCATTCCCTCTCACCCACTCTCATACGCTCTCATTCCCTCTCACCCACTCTCATACGCTCTCATTCCCTCTCACCCACTCTCATACGCTCTCATTCCCTCTCACCCACTCTCATACGCTCTCATTCCCTCTCACCCACACTCATACACTCTCATTCCCTCTCACCCACTCTCATACGCTCTCATTCCCTCTCACCCACTCTCTTACGCTCTCATTCCCTCTCACCCACTCTCATACGCTCTCATTCCCTCTCACCCACTCTCATACGCTCTCATTCCCTCTCACCCACTCTCATACGCTCTCATTCCCTCTCACCCACTCCCATACGCTCTCATTCCCTCTCACCCACTCTCATACGCTCTCATTCCCTCTCACCCACTCTCATACGCTCTCATTCCTCTCACCCACTCTCATACCCTCTCATTCCCTCTCACCCACTCTCATACGCTCTCATTCCCTCTCACCCACTCTCATACGCTCTCATTCCCTCTCACCCACTCTCATACGCTCTCATTCCCTCTCACCCACTCTCATACGCTCTCATTCCCTCTCACCCACTCTCATACGCTCTCATTCCATCTCACCCACTCTCATACGCTCTCATTCCCTCTCACCCACTCTCATACGCTCTCATTCCCTCTCACCCACTCTCTACGCTCTCATTCCCTCTCACACACTCTCATACGCTCTCATTCCCTCTCACCCACTCTCATACGCTCTCAATCCCTCTCACACACTCTCATACGCTCTCATTCCCTCTCACCCACACTCATACACTCTCATTCCCTCTCACCCACTCTCATACCCTCTCATTCCCTCTCATCCACTCTCTTACGCTCTCATTCCCTCTCACCCACTCTCATACGCTCTCATTCCCTCCACCCACACTCATACGCTCTCATTCCCTCTCACCCACTCTCATACCTCTCATTCCCACTCACCCACTTTCTTACGCTCTCATTCCCTCTCACCCACTCTCATACGCTCTCATTCCCTCTCACCCACTCTCTACGCTCTCATTCCCTCTCACCCACTCTCATACACTCTCATTCCCTCAAACCCACTCTCATACGCTCTCATTCCCTCTCACCCACTCTCATACGCTCTCATTCCCTCTCACCCACTCTATACGCTCTCATTCCCTCTCACCCACTCTCATACGCTCTCATTCCCTCTCACCCACTCTCATACGCTCTCATTCCCTCTCACCCACTCTCATACGCTCTCATTCCCTCTCACCCACTCTCATACGCTCTCATCCCTCTCACCCACTCTCATACGCTCTCATTCCCTCTCACCCACACTCATACACTCTCATTCCCTCTCACCCACTCTCATACCCTCTCATTCCCTCTCATCCACTCTCTTACGCTCTCATTCCCTCTCACCCACTCTCATACGCTCTCATTCCCTCCCACCCACACTCATACGCTCTCATTCCCTCTCACCCACTCTCTTACGCTCTCATTCCCTCTCACCCACTCTCATACACACTCATTCCTTCTAACCCACTCTCATACGCTCTCATTCCCTCTCACCCACTCTCATACGCTCTCATTCCCTCTCGCCCACTCTCATACGCTCTCATTCCCTCTCGCCCACTCTCATACGCTCTCATTCCCTCTCACCCACTCTCATACGCTCTCATTCCCTCTCACCCACACTCATACGCTCTCATTCCCTCTCACCCACTCACAAACGCTCTCATTGCCTCTAACCCACTCTCATATGCTTTCATTCCCTCTCACCCACTCTCATACGCTCTCATTCCCTCTCACCCACTCTCATACGCTCTCATTCCCTCTCACCCACTCTCATACGCTCTCATTCCCTCTCACCCACACTCAAACGCTCTCATTCCCTCTCACCCACTCTCATACGCTCTCATTCCCTCTCATCCACTCTCTTACGCTCTCATTCCCTCTCACCCACACTCATACGCTCTCATTCCCTCTCACCCACTCTCATACGCTCTCATTCCCTCTCACCCACTCTCATACCCTCTCATTCCCTCTCACCCACTCTCATACGCTCTCATTCCCTCTCACCCACTCTCATACGCTCTCATTCCCTCTCACCCACTCTCATACGCTCTCATTCCCTCTCACCCACTCTCATACGCTCTCATTCCCTCTCACCCACTCCCATACGCTCTCATTCCCTCTCACCCACTCTCATACGCTCTCATTCCCTCTCACCCACTCTCATACGCTCTCATTCCTCTCACCCACTCTCATACGCTCTCATTCCCTCTCACCCACTCTCATACGCTCTCATTCCCACTCACCCACTCTCATTGCTCTCATTCCCTCTCACCCACTCTCATACGCTCTCATTCCCTCTCACCCACTCTCATACGCTCTCATTCCCTCTCACCCACTCTCATACGCTCTCATTCCCTCTCACCACTCTCATACACTCTCATTCCCTCTCACCCACTCTCATACGCTCTCATTCCCTCTCACCCACTCTCATACTCTCTCATACGCTCTCATCCACTCTCATCCACTCTCATCGCTCTCAACCCCTCCATCCCTCTCATCCCCTCTCATCCCCTCTCACACACTCTCATTCCCTCTGACACACTCTCAAACGCTCTCATTCCCTCTCACCCACTCTCATACGCTCTCATTCCCTCTCACCCACACTCATACGCTCTCATTCCCTCTCACCCACTCACAAACGCTCTCATTGCCTCTAACCCACTCTCATACGCTTTCATTCCCTCTCACCCACTCTCCTACGCTCTCATGCCCTCTCACCCACTCTCATACGCTCTCATTCCCTCTCACCCACTTCATACGCTCTCATTCCCTCTCACCCAATCTCATACGCTCTCATTCCCTCTCATCCACTCTCTTACGCTCTCATTCCCTCTCACCCACACTCATACGCTCTCATTCCCTCTCACCCACTCCATACGCTCTCATTCCCTCTCACCCACTCTCATACGCTCTCATTCCCTCTCACCCACTCTCATACGCTCTCACTTCTTCTCACCCACTCTCATACCCTCTCATTCCCTCTCACCCACTCTCATACACTCTCATTCCCTCTAACCCACTCTCATACGCTCTCATTCCCTCTCACCCACTCTCATACGCTCTCAATCCCTCTCACCCACTCTCATACGCTCTCATTCCCTCTCAACCACCCTCATACACTCTCATTCCCTCTCACCCACTCTCATACCCTCTCATTCCCTCTCATCCACTCTCTTACGCTCTCATTCCCTCCCACCCACTCTCATACGCTCTCATTCCCTCTCACCCACTCTCATACGCTCTCATTCCCTCTCACCCACTCTCTTACGCTCTCATTCCCTCTCACCCACTCTCATACACTCTCATTCCCTCTAACCCACTCTCATACGCTCTCATTCCCTCTCACCCACTCTCATACGCTCTCATTCCCTCTCACCCACTCTCATACGCTCTCATTCCCTCTCACCCACTCTCATACGCTCTCATTCCCTCCCACCCACACTCATACGCTCTCATTCCCTCTCACCCACTCTCATACGCTCTCATTCCCTCTCACCCACTCTCATACGCTCTCATTCCCTCTTGTCCACTCTCATACGCTCTCATTCCCTCTCACCCACTCTCATACGCTCTTATTCCCTCTCACCCACTCTCATACGCTTTAATTCCCTCTCACCCACTCTCATACGCTCTCATTCCCTCTCACCCACACTCATACACTCTCATTCCCTCTCACCCACTCTCATACCCTCTCATTCCCTCTCACCCACTCTCTTACGCTCTCATTCCCTCTCACCCACTCTCATACGCTCTCATTCCCTCTCACCCACTCTCATACGCTCTCATTCCCTCTCACCCACTCTCATACGCTCTAATCCCTCTCACCCACACTCATACGCTCTCATTCCCTCTCACCCACTCTCATACGCTCTCAATCCCTCTCACCCACTCTCATACGCTCTCATTCCCTCTCACCCACACTCATACACTCTCATTCCCTCTCACCCACTCTCATACCCTCTCATTCCCTCTCATCCACTCTCTTACGCTCTCATTCCCTCACACCCACTTTCATACGCTCTCATTCACTCTCACCCACTCTCATTCGCTCTCATTCCCTCTCGCCCACTCTCATACGCTCTCATTCCTCTCGCCCACTCTCATACGCTCTCATTCCCTCTCACCCACTCTCATACGCTCTCATTCCCTCTCACCCACACTCATACGCTCTCATTCCCTCTCACCCACTCTCAAACGCTCTCATTGCCTCTAACCCACTCTAATACGCTTTCATTCCCTCTCACCCACTCTCATACGCTCTCATTCCCTCTCACCCACTCTCATACGCTCTCATTCCCTCTCACCCACTCTCATACGCTCTCATTCCCTCTCACCCACACTCAAACGCTCCCATTCCCTCTCACCCACTCTCATACGCTCTCATTCCCTCTCATCCACTCTCTTACGCTCTCATTCCCTCTCACCCACTCTCATACGCTCTCATTCCCTCTCACCCACTCTCAGACGCTCTCATTCCCTCTCACCCACTCTCATACGCTCTCATTCCCTCTCACCCACTCTCATACGCTCTCATTCCCTCTCACCCACTCTCATACGCTCTCATTCCCTCTCACCCACTCCCATACGCTCTCATTCCCTCTCACCCACTCTCATACGCTCTCATTCCCTCTCACGCACTCTCATACGCTCTCACTTCCTCTCACCCACTCTCATGCCTCTCATTCCCTCTCACCCACTCTCATACGCTCTCATTCCCTCTCACCCACTCTCATACGCTCTTATTCCCTCTTGCCCACTCTCATACGCTCTCATTCCCTCTCACCCACTCTCATACGCTCTCATTCCCTCTCACCCACTCTCATACGCTCTCATTCCCTTTCACCCACTCTCATACGCTCTCATTCCCTCTCACCCAATCTCATACGCTCTCATTCCATCTCACCCACTCTTCTACGCTCTCATTCCCTCTCACCCACTCTCATACGCTCTCATTCCCTCTCACCCACTCTCATACGCTCTCAATCCCTCTCACACACTCTCATACGCTCTCATTCCCTCTCACCCACACTCATACACACTCATTCCCTCTCACCCACTCTCATACCCTCTCATTCCCTCTCATCCACTCTCTTACGCTCTCATTCCCTCTCACCCACTCTCATACGCCCTCATTCCCTCCCACCCACACTCATACGCTCTCATTCCCTCTCACCCACTCTCATACCCTCTCATTCCCACTCACCCACTTTCTTACGCTCTCATTCCCTCTCACCCACTCCCATACCCTCTCATTCCCTCTCACCCACTCTCTTACGCTCTCATTCCCTCTCACCCACTCTCATACACTCTCATTCCCTCAAACCCACTCTCATACGCTCTCATTCCCTCTCACCCACTCTCATACGCTCTCATTCCCTCTCGCCCACTCTTATACGCTCTCATTCCCTCTACCCACTCTCATACGCTCTCAATTCCTCTCACCCACTCTCATACCCTCTCATTCCCTCTCACCCACGCTCATACGCTCTCATTCCCTCTCACCCACTCTCATACGCTCTTATTCCCTCTCACCCACTCTCATACGCTCTCATTCCCTCTCACCCACTCTCATACGCTCTCATTCCCTCTCACCCACTCTCATACGCTCTCATTCCCTCTCACCCACTCTCATACGCTCTCATTCCATCTCACCCACTCTTCTACGCTCTCATTCCCTCTCACCCACTCTCATACGCTCTCATTCCCTCTCACCCACTCTCATACGCTCTCATTCCCTCTCACACACTCATACGCTCTCATTCCCTCTCACCCACACTCATACACACTCATTCCCTCTCACCCACTCTCATACCCTCTCATTCCCTCTCATCCACTCTCTTACGCTCTCATTCCCTCTCACCCACTCTCATACGCTCTCATTCCCTCCCACCCACACTCATACGCTTTCATTCCCTCTCACCCACTCTCATACCCTCTCATTCCCACTCACCCACTTTCTACGCTCTCATTCCCTCTCATTCCCTCTCATACCCTGTCATTCCCTCTCACCCACTCTCTTACGCTCTCATTCCCTCTCACCCACTCTCATACACTCTCAATCCCTCTCACCCACTCTCATACGCTCTCATTCCCTCTCAACCACTCTCATACACTCTCATTCCCTCTCACCTACTCTCATACCCTCTCATTCCCTCTCATCCACTCTCTTACGCTCTCATTCCCTCTCACCCACTCTCATACGCTCTCATTCCCTCCCACCCACTCTCATACGCTCTCATTCCCTCTCACCCACTCTCATACGCTGTCATTCCCTCTCACCCACTCTCTTACGCTCTCATTCCTTCTCACCCACTCTCATACACTCTCATTCCCTCTAACCCACTCTCATACACTCTCATTCCCTCTCACCCACTCTCATACGCTCTCATTCCCTCTCGCCCACTCTCATACGCTCTCATTCCCTCTCACCCACTCTCATACGCTCTCATTCCCTCCCACCCACACTCATACGCTCTCATTCCCTCTCACCCACTCTCATACGCTCTCATTCCCTCTCACCCACTCTCATACACTCTCATTCCCTCTTGCCCACTCTCATACGCTCTCATTCCCTCTCACCCACTCTCATACGCTCTCATTCCCTCTCACCCACTCTCATACGCTCTAATTCCCTCTCACCCACTCTCAAACGCTCTCATTCCCTCTCACCCACACTCATACGCTCTCATTCCCTCTCACCCACTCTCATACGCTCTAATTCCCTCTCACCCACTCTCATACGCTCTCATTCCCTCTCGCCCACTCTCATACGCTCTCATTCCCTCTCACCCACTCTCATACGCTCTCATTCCCTCCCACCCACACTCATACGCTCTCATTCCCTCTCACCCACTCTCATACGCTCTCATTTCCTCTCACCCACTCTCATACGCTCTCATTCCCTCTTGCCCACTCTCATACGCTCTCATTCCCTCTCACCCACTCTCATACGCTCTCATTCCCTCTCACCCACTCTCATACGCTCTAATTCCCTCTCACCCACTCTCAAACGCTCTCATTCCCTCTCACCCACACTCATACACTCTCATTCCCTCTCACCCACTCTCATACCCTCTCATTCCCTCTCACCCACTCTCTTACGCTCTCATTCCCTCTCACCCACTCTCATACGCTCTCATTCCCTCTCACCCACTCTCATACGCTCTCATTCCCTCTCACCCACACTCATACGCTCTCATTCCCTCTCACCCACTCTCATACGCTCTCATTCCCTCCCACCCACACTCATACGCTCTCATTCCCTCTCACCCACTCTCATACGCTCTCATTCCCTCTCACCCACTCTCATACACTCTCATTCCCTCTAACCCACTCTCACACGCTCTCATTCCCTCTCACCCACTCTCATGTTATAGACTAAGGATCGAGTCTGTGAAGATTAGGAGCCTAAATTTCTCAAAATCGTTGGCTTGAAATTCTGGACAGAAACCGCGACTTCACAAGAAACGTTGTCGACGAAAAGTGCACCGTTAGAATCGTCGGAAACTCGAGTATGTTATAGCCATTGTCCGTGGCTATCATTCCCAATTTGAATCGTATCAATAGGTGGAGTAAATCTCTAGTTATGCTTCTCGGCGCACCAGGGGGTATGCTGCCACATAGAAACTTAATTCACTTACAATAGTTTCAAAAGTTCTCAAGAGTTACACACAAGAGAGTTAGAGTAGCACTAAACCAGGTAGGATGGGATGAGGAGGACGAGAGGGAAGGTCCCAAGAGAGTTCCCAACCAAGGAAACCCATGCCACATAATTCCCTTCTCCATATGCAACCCCACTTTCACTTTTGTCACTTTCCCAACCTCACAATTCACCTCAACCCAACTTGGCCACACTTGCCAACCTGTTTTGGTTTCTCCCAACCAATTGGCAGCAACTATAGTAGTAGTGACGAATTTCCCAACCCCCAAAAGTCTGTACCCCATATTGAGTCAACCCCACAACTCTCCATGGTCACCACAACCAAATATCAAAAGCATACGAACTCCACGTTTGTAACTTTCTTGTTCGTGCTCCGATTGAAGTGATTCTTGGTTCGTCGGAAAGCTCTTGAGCAGTGGAGTCACTTCAGATATCTGCTCAAGCCAAATAACATTCACACACACTTCAGAAAATCCAAACCACAGAAAACACAACTTTTTGCGCACGCTCATTTCATACATGCAACGCACGAACACATGATGGGAGGCAGACAGACGTGAATGCAAATGATAGCATCACATAACAAACTCCCCCTCTGGCTGCCTACCATCATCCCACATGCCATAGCTCAATCATGCACCCTCAATACACACTCATTCCAGCAAGCTTCATGCCCTTCCAATGCTCAGATTCAGCCAGGCGCTTGGTGAGAATGTCAGCCGCCTGCTGATGGGTCTTCACAATCTCCAGTCGCACCTCCTTGTCCAGGAGCCTCCTCACCCAATGCCACTTAGGCCTGATGTGTTTGGTCAGCCCATGAAGACAAGCATTCTTTGCTAGCTTCACCGCCGACTCATTGTCACAGAAAATCACAGTCGGCTCCCTCTGGCACACTCCGATCTCCTCCAACAAACGCCTCAGCCACACCACCTCCTTTGCCCCATGATGCAGGGCCATGTACTCTGTCTCACACGAGGACTGCCCCACCTCGTTCTGCTTCTTGCTGCGCCAGCTCACTGCACCACCTCCAAACAGGCACACATAGCCTCCAATGCTGGTGCCATCCGCCTTCACAGAGTTGAAGCTGGCGTCGGTGTAGCAAGTCAGAAGCATCTCCCCCTTGCCCAAATCAGCTGCACCCCTCTGCAGCCTCTGTCGCACAGCACTGTACTCTAAGCCATTGATGACGTAGCGCTCACATAGCGGACCAACCTCTTGGCTGCTTCCAGCTGCTCATGACTGGGGCGTGCAACCACACTTGCAAGCCTGGATGTAGCAAAGGCAATGTCAGGCCGTGTGTGGTTAGCCGCATAATTGAGTGCCCCCACCATGGAATGAAACAGCTTCCTGTCACTCTCACCCACCACCTCCTCATCAGCACAGGGCTCCACAGTGAACCCCAAAGGCAGTGGGGTGGCTGGCTTTCCTCCATCTTGCAGTCCATACTTCTCGGCCAGCCCCTCACAGTACTTCCTCTGGTGCAACCTCAACACTCCCTTGTCAAGGTCCCTCTCCACATGCATCCCAAGGTAGTACTTCACATCTCCCATCTTGGAGCACTTGAACTGCATTTCCAGCATCTCCTCCACACGTTCAATCATTGCAGACGACTCAGAGAAGAGCAGGATGTCGTCCACGTACACCAGGAGCATGAGGAACTGCTCCTTCTCTTGCAGCAGGAACAGGCTGTGATCACACTCGCTCTTCTTGAACCCCCCAGCCAGCAGTGTCTCCTCCAGCTTGTGGTACCATGCGCGAGGAGCCTGCTTCAGGCCATAGATGGCCTTCTTGAGCCTGCACACCCTGCCGCTCCCATCATCCAACCCCTCAGGCTGCAGCATGTACAGCTCTTCCAGAATGATTCCATTGAGGAATGCAGTGATTATGTCCATCTGCTTGATCTTCCAGCCACGGTTTGCAGCCATTGCCAACATCGTCCTCAGTGTAGTGCCTTTCCCTACAGGAGCAAAGATATCATCAAAATCCTTCCCCTTTGTCTGTTGGAACCCCTTAGCCACAAGCCTTGACTTGTAGCGGGTCAGCTCCCCATCGGGTCCGTACTTATGCCTGAAGATCAGCTTGGAAGAAATGGCCTTCTTCCCAGGTGGCAGCTCACACAGCTCCCACGTCTCATTCTCCAGCAGAGAGTCATACTCCTCCTTCACACTCTGCTTCCACTTCTCAGCGTCGGGCCCGCTCAATGCCTCGGCTAACGTCTTGGGCTCAGGGACGGCTGCCCAGTAGCAGTGTGCTATCTCATCCTCATCACACTGCTCAGCCACACTCCCAGCCCGTACCACCTTTGGCTTGCCAAAGCTCGGATAGGTCAGCCGGTTAGGAGGGCGCACTTCCCTCCGGGGACGGTCAGCCGGACGCGCGGCACCTTGTGGAGCACCTTGCTCCTGCTGCTGTGGCTGCTGCTGCTGCTGCGGCTGCTGCTGCTGCTGCTGCTGCTGCTCCACCTCAGGTTCTCCCCCATCCTCAGTCACCCCAGAAATCTCCTCCTCTGAGACAGTGACCTGCACTTGCCTCGAAGGCCGCTGCACCTCATCAGCCTCAATGATCAGCGGTGTAGTGGGAAGCTTCTGCTGCTGCTGCTTCCACTCCTTGTAGTACAAGGACTCAAGGAACTCACATCCCTCGACACAGTCAGCTGCTGGCTGGTCAAGTCCCAAATCAGCCAGCCCTTGTGATCCTTTGCAAGCCCCAAGTGCACACCCATCTCCCAGAAGCTTCCAGTTTTCCCCCTCTTCTCCTTAGGCACATGAAACACCACCATACAGCCATAAGTTCTCAGCATGTTGACTGCAGGCAACACTCCCATACCACTTGGTGTAGGGGACCATTGCTTGTCCCCACAGTCGCCAGCACCCGGTTCTTCACAACAACGACCTGCCGCAGTGCTGTCACCCAAAACGGATCCGGCAGCCCTGCACGCCCAAGGAGAGTGCGAGCACCTTCCTGCAGGGTCCGGTTGAACCGCTCAGCCAAGCCATTCTGCTGAGGGTTGTAAGGCACTGTGAGCTGATGCTGGATCCCTTCTTCTTCAGCACCGCCTCAAAATCAGCGCCGATGAATTCTCCTCCATTGTCGGTGCGGATCACCTTCACCTTATGTCCGCTCTCCCTTTGTGCTCTCGGCATCCCCCTTAAGAACAGCCGCTGCCACCTCCCCCTTAGTCTTGAGAGGGTACACCCACACCGCACGCGTGTGGTCGTCCACAATTGTCAAGAGTAGCGGCTGCCGAGAGAGAAAGGGCCCTCGTGGGGCCCACCACATCCATGTGCACTAGTGCAAGTGGTGCATTTGCTGGTCCTGTGCTGGCTGAAGGGAAACTTCGTGAATTTGGTCTCAAGGCAGGTAGGGCAGCTCCCAATCTCCTTTGCTCCCCCCTTCACCTCTAGCCCTTCAAGCACCCATCCTTTACCAACTTCTGCAGCATAGGAATGTTGATGTGGCATAGCCTCTCATGCCACGTCTCCCAATCAGCCTCAACCACTCCCAGATGAAGCCTTTGCCCATGCAGCTGTCGCATCCACACCAGCAAGCATCTCACCATGTGGCTGTTGTGGCTGCTGCACCTTCTTGACTGCATCCAGGGCCCCTGCAGTTGGTGCAGTCTCCTCTCCTCCCGCAGTTGCTTTAGCCGCTGCCCGCTGCCTTTGCCGTTGCTGGTGGTTTCCCCTTCCAAGGGATGATGGGCAGCTGCCATAGGTCCTTGATGCAGCTGCTCTTCTCCTCCAAGTTCCACAGCAGCAACTTCCCAAGCTTTGCACGGCAGCTGGTTGGGCCGAAGGTAACTTCAGCCTTGCTCTTCTGCAGCCGGCGCACAGAAAGAAGGTTAGCGGACAAACCTTCAACAAACAGCACATTCCAAGCCCCCCAAGCTCTCCATTGGCTCCCATCACCTTGGCATTCCCAACACCAATCACAGGAAGCAAAGCACCAGAAGCGGCAGCCACAAATTGATCTTCCCAGGAGGTTTTACCTCATCAAGCAAATCTGCCCGTGGGGTCATATGACTCGTGCAACCTGAATCGATCACCCAGTGAGTGAGGGGGTGCATCATAACCTTCCCAACTGAACCCACATCCCCCCACTCCCTTGCACATCCTCAACCATGAGGAACATCCCAGGGTCAGCTTTACTTGTGCACCATCACCTTGTGCACCTGAACCTTGCACAGCGCCACCTCGTGCACATTCACCACTTGGCGGCTTCATGCCTGGAGCGCGCCCATCCTTCAGGCCGGCTGAAACACTTGAACCATGGGTGTCCAGCCTTCTTGCAGTACCAGCACGCACCCTCCATTCGGGTGCTCCCCTGCCACCAGAGCTTCCATGCCCCTCGTTGTAGTCACCTCGGCCTCTTCCTCTGCCAAAAGCCTCTCCCACGGCCTCGGCCTCTCCCTCCCCCTCTCCCGCTGCTGCCTCCTGCAGCTCCATACCCCTCGGCAGTTTTTTTGGCAGCACCACCTCCAGTGTGGCGCCTTGGAAGTCCTCCTGCAGGATCTGCTGCCGTAGCCACTAAGGCGTCCATTTGTCCTGCTGAACGTTGAGGGTGGGGATGAGGTTGTCCCACGAGTTGTCGGCACCGAGATGATCTTGGTGCACTGTTGCATCTACGACACTTCGCTGGCCCGCCGCTGCCATCCTCGCATAGGTGTTTTTGATCTTGTCAAGGACGGTTTCACATCATCTCCCAGCCGCATGGAGAGGGCAGCCAACTCCTTCTCCAATACGATCACCATCAGCAGCGTGTTGGGTTGAACCAC